CACACACACACACACACACACACACACACACACACACACACACACACAGGTGAAACGACTGTTTTAAATCGGAGGCAGAGTTTTTTGTTTTTCTCGTTTCTGCATTTTATTTTGATAAAAGTCTTTGAACTTCACAAGACTTTAATCAGCTTTTAAACAATGATTCTAAGTAAACAAACTAATCAGTGAAGGACCTGAGTCCAGCTGAAGATCTGGAGCAGTCTTCGGCTGCTGTCAGCTGCTCTTCCTGTCCAGGTGAGTGTACAGGTACGTGCACACGCTCAGACCTGCCACCTGTGGAAACAGGAGAACAGGTTCTAGTCTCCGATCAGCTGATTCCTTCAAACAGGAAGTGTTTACCTCCAGCGCCGCCACCCCGGCGGCCACGCCTCCGACCACGTGGCTCTGCTCCCTRAGGAGCTTCAGAACCGGTCTGGAGCAGCCCTGAAGAAGAACCGGGTCAAAGTCTGTTAGCAAAACGTCCCCCGAGCCACTGGATGGAGGTGGACACAGAGTCCCCTCCAGGACAGACTGAGCTCTAACCTGTTCTCACCTGCACAGGTAGAAGCTCCGCCTCCTCTGGCCTGCAGGGGGCAGTGTTGGTCCAGCAGCAGCTGGGCGGCAGCTGGTCTTGGTTCTGGTCCTGAAACTCGGAGCCCGTGAAGTCGGCGTGTCCAGAGAACCCGCAGCAGCTGAACTGTTGGTTTTAAAGACAGTTTAGTGTCAGGAGCCCTCCTGCTGGTCCTGGCTCACCTGGACCCACCTGGACCCACCAGGACCCACCTGAACCCACCTGGACCCAGGGTCGAGACTTCAGGCCCAGCAGGGTGTTCTTTTCAAACATGAATTCAGAAACATAAAAGTTTAAAATTTGCTTTGAGTCTGAACCTGATCTCTGACCTTTGACCTGACCTTTGATCTGACCTTTGACCTGACCTTTGATCTGACCTTTGACCTCTGACCTGACCCGATCCAACAGATCCTGACTCAAAGAGGGGACCCGGTTTGGTTCTGGTTCCGTAGTAAAACCGGGGAMCTGCAGGACTCGTACCTCAGTCATGGTGGAGTTCCAGATCTTTGTGACCTTGGGGTCCAGACCGTAGCTGTTCTGTAACGCCTGAGTCGCCCACGCTTCCAGGATCCTGTCAGCCTGGAGACAGAAGCACCTGGATCAGGAGCAGGTTCTGACCCAACTGGACCAAGAACAGGACTGTGGAGAGCTGGTTTCTGGTTTGGACTGGTCAGTGAAAACCTGGACNCACCTGGATCAGGAGCAGGTTCTGACCCAACTGGACCAAGAACAGGACTGTGGAGAGCTGGTTTCTGGTTTGGACTGGTCAGTGAAAACCTGGACAGGTTCTGGGACCAGAGAGGACAAACCTGGACGTGTTCTGGGACCAGAGAGGACGGGGACAAACCTGAATGGGTTCTGGGACCAGAGAGGACGGGGACAAACCTGGACGTGTTCTGGGACCAGAGAGGACGGGGACAAACCTGAATGGGTTCTGGGACCAGAGGGGGACAAACCTGGACGGGTTCTGGGACCAGAGAGGACGGGGACAAACCTGAATGGGTTCTGGGACCAGAGAGGACGGGGACACTCACCAACGAGGAGTAGATGAGCGCCACGAGTCCAGCTGCGACCTCAGCCATGACGATGATGAGGATGATGGAGAAGAACTGCAGAGGAGGAAGAAAAGGTCCAATCAGAACCAACCAGACTCTTATTCTGAAGAGTCCCTGAGCTTTATTTTGGAGGCGGAGTCTGCTGGTTGCCACGGTGACGTGAGGACTCACAGCGACCAGCAGACACTTGCTCTCCTTCCGGGCCCCACAGCTGCCCAGGAGGCCCAGCAGAACCAGGACGGTGCCGACRGAGACGCAGAAGAAGCCCGTGTTGACGAAGAGCTGGACCTGTCTGCAGAACGGACCCAGGATGTGGAGGAAGGAGCTGCCGTCCACGCTGACCCAGATCCCCCCGGCCAGCAGGACCAGACCCCCGAGCTGCAGAACCAGGTTCAGACAGAAACCCAAAGCATGGATCAAAACATCTGGATTTATCAGAACACAAAGATCATAACACCAGGCCAGTCTTAGTGCCGGTTCTGGTTCTGGAATGGACCAGGCTGAGACCCTCCAGCTGGACCTCTGAGGACAGGGTCTCACTGAGGGACAGAACTGGGTCAGGATTTAGTGTGAGGAGGAACCGGACTCACAGAAACCAGCAGGTTGAACAGAACCATCATCAGCCGGAGGAACGGGAAGCAGCTCATGTCGGTCTGCAGAACCAGACCAGAGACCATCAGAAACTTTCAAAATAAAGTTTTAAAGAGAAGATTTATCTTTCAAAATAAAGCTTACTTTAAATGGTTCAAAACAAATCTAAATGTTTTAAAATAAATATCTTCAATTTTTCTAAATAATGGTCATATTTCAAAATAAAACATTAAACATAAGAC